ATCACCACCACCACTACCACCACCACCACCACCATCATCATCATCATCATATTTTAATTAAAATAATCGTCCAGGAGCGAAGCGGCTTGTCCCTTTTAGCTTCTTTGGGGCGATAACAAAGCAGCGCGGGTTTCCTCCCACCAGCGCTGTTTTTTAAATTGCTGGGTTTGTGGTAGGGAGAGAAAATGGAGAGAGGGACTAACACAGAGACTCCGTCCTAAAGCAAAAATTAAACCCGACCTCAGACACCGGGCATGACTAGATTCCTTCTTGTTCCCACACCTCCCCCCTCATTTGGATTAGAAGAGGAGAAAGAAAATCTCCCGCATTGGACTGAAACCGCAGGGAATAATTATTACTGTATTTCCACTAAAGCCGGGGCAAAAAGGAGGTGGCCTTAGCAATTAATCCAAGACTTCGATGTGTGACCATAAACTGGACAATTTAGGCAAAACAAATTAAACAAACCTTCCGGAGGGAGGGAAAAAAAGGTGAACTAAATTTCACTATCGCTACACCCTGGGAAGCAGTACGGGATTTATTTTTACCCTCCCTCCTTTCCTTGTTTATTACTGAAAAGAATTACTAAAATTCTCCCCTTCTCTGACGATCTGAATACCGATAAATCGAAAATCTTGTGTAGAGATATGTTGGGGGAAAGGCGAGGGCCTTTCCTTTCTTTCTTTTTCCCTTTCTTTTCTTTTCCTTTCTTTCTTTTCCTCCTCTCCCTCTTCTTCTCCGCCCCCCCTTAATCTGTAGGAAGAAAAAAGGGACTGGGATACATCAGATATCCCCCCACCCACCCTTTTCTCTCGGATCTGCGCCGTTCAGACTGTATCCCTTCGGGAAAGTAGCCTTTGGAATTGGGTTCTGGTTTCGCTTTGGGTTGGAGGTGGGCAGGTGAGAGTCATGGAGAGAATGGGGTCCTCAGAGGTTCTGTCCCACCGACCAGGGTCTGAAGATTGGATCCCCCCTTTTGGACACACATCCCCCTACCCACCCATGCCAGGCTGCGGACGACTCGGCGCTGTGGCCACAGCTCCGGCCTGACTTCGGTTCCCGAGCCAACGGCGTAGACGAGTCTGCTTAGAAAACAAACGGCCACACTGAACCAGACATCCTGGTTGGAGGGTCCAATAATGTTCCGGGCAGTCTGCGGCTGGATTGTTGTTGTTGGACTAGATAGTTATTCCTGATTCGTCAGGTGTAGGGTTCTTTTTTATGGGGGTGCGGGGGGAGGCTTCAAACACCTGCAGGTTGGGGGCGGAAAGCTGCTGGAGATTCCCGGGGCGGGTTGGCGAGGACATGAGGTAATTCCCAGCCATTGACCCCCATTTCTCTCTCTCCCTCCCTCTCGCCCTCCCTCTTTCTCTCCACCCCCATCTTTCCTGGAAACTCGCGTTGGGCGCGGCAGACCGCCCAGGACCACACCGCGGCCTAACTGCCGGTCTCTCAGTGAGAGAGGGGGGAAGCAAAGACCCCTTCCACAACCTGGACCTCGGCTCCCGCCCCTCTCCCGCCGGAGGAGGAGTGGAGATCCTATTCAGAGGGGCCGATCTCTCTAAATATGCCCCAGGTGAGTTTTGGGGGAATATTACTGGTGGAAACAGTCACCAGGAAGGCCTTGGGATCTGGCCTGAGGTGGGGAAAGCTTGGGACAGAGGACAGTCCAGTTTCAGATTGGGGAGGAGGAGGGGAGGATGAACCCAGAGGTGGGAATCCGGGATCTGACCCTGCCACTGACTGTGGCCTCTGTGTCACTGTGGCTTCCAGCAGGGCCCTTTCCTGGCCCTGGGTGAAAGCAGCTAGTTGGGCTTAGTCCCCCCTCACCCAAGGTCCCCCTCTGTCCTGGTTCTGTGGACGTTTCACAGGGCTCATAACTTTGGGACGGCTATATCCGGGTAGTGCAGGCTGTGTGCTCCCGGGGCTCTGGCAGGAAGAAGGCCGCAGCCATCCTGGCTAACGCAGTCCCAACTCGGGTGGGCCCAGGCTGGGGCCTAAGGCCTAGGGTGGGGCTGCGTTCAAACACCCCTCCACTCCAGTAGCAGCAGGAAGGTGGTTCTGTTCATGGGCGATTTTCGTTTGCGTGCAGGCTTGGGGCTCCCCCAGTGGGTCATGCGGGTGTGGATGCAGTATCAGGAACCAGAGGCTGCGTTTAAGGCGGCGGCTCTAGCCGGGGCATGGCAGAGGCTGTTTTCACATAAGAAATTTTCCTTGCTGGGAATTGGGAGCTGCCAGAGACCAGGTGCCTGTCCCCCAGGAGCTCTCGGGTTCCCCTGTCGTGTTCAGACACACATGGAAGTTATCTGGCTGGCTGGCAACAGGAGATGAGCCGGTGTAGGGGGCTTCGAGCTGGGTCTTGGTTGCACAAAGAGGAGTTGTAATGGTCCAATAGTCTAGTGCTGTTCGGTTCGAAATCTGAAACCTTCTTACCCGCTTCTTCATTTTCCCTGATAAAAATAAATAAACATCACTCAGGCTTTCCTTTTAATAATCTTAACCAAAGCCAAGTGATGGGATTTAGTCACCGACCACCGAAAGTGCTTGTGAGTTCTCTGGCAGCTTCCTCGAGAGCCTGGCCCTCTGGCCTGGGTGATCCTGGTTGCAGATGAACTGGCAGGGTTTTCCTGAGGTCCTGGGAGGGGCGGGGAGAGGTTGACCACAGACCCCTGGGGACCAATCATAGGTTTGGGGGGGGCTCAGAGATATAGATATTTATAGGCGTCTGGAGGGGGCATTTGGGGCCAGAGCCAGCTCATCTGAGATACGTGCTCCCCTTGCCCCTCTGGGATCTGCTCCTACTTAGAGTCTCAGAATTAATCAGGAGGTACAAATGTGTCATATGGAGAGCTTGAGCTCATTCTGGCAATTGCTGAGTGAACGGTTTGTCACTCGGTTAGGAGCTGGGACTTAAGCACGTGTCACTGGGCGCACAACGGTGCCTGGGGACAGTAAGGTAGGGAGCCAGCTCCTTGGGGCTTGTATGCTTCGCCAGAGGACGGTATATTTCTAATGCATTTCACTGTTGCAGGGGAGCCAGGACGTCTCCAGTGGTATACCTCTGGTGCATTTCTAGTGGCCGCAGTGTCTTGATGGTCGGTCCCATTCTGTGGATACAGACAGACCTATTGTTTCCACTATGAACATAAACTAGTTTCCAATGAAGTGTTGCAGACCTACTGCCTTTGCAGCCAGGGTACACCAGGTCTGGGGGAATTTTGTCATTTTGGGGCGCTGCCCATGGGGCTGGCAGAGCTAGGGCAGGAGCTTAATCTGAATGGTGATTCTCCATCAGCTGTGTGTCCAGTGGCAATTGAGCTGAGCTCCTGAGGAGGTTTCAGAAGGTCGGGTCTCTGTTCTGGGGTGGGAGGATGGTTCCCAGGCCGACTCCAGTCCAGAGTGGTGCAGTGGCAGAATGGCTGCCAGGAATGATCAGATGGACTCTGCTTGGTGCTGAGTTGGATTTTTGTGTATTTGTTTTCTGCTACAAAATATGCCAATTATATAATTCCAACAGCAGAAATCTTATTTTGAACATCTTATGAAGCCTGTTGATTATATTTTTATTGTTTTATTAAAACTCACAAGCATTTCCCCACTCTGGACCCAGAGTCTCATAGTTTTTCTGTTTTCGTTCTTGCGGGGATGGGGTGTGTGTGTGTGTGTCGGGTTTTGGAAGAACTGGAGGGAGCGGTAGTGGGGAGTGGAGCCTCTGCCTGCGGTCACCCAGGAGTATGGTTGAGGAGGATAGGACTGTCCTTGGCTGGAGGGGGGCAGGCAGGATATATGAGAGGGTGTATATGGGAGGATAACAAAGAGAGAGCGAGACTGGAGTTCGGGTCCTGCTCTGTGGCAAACAGGCGAGTGTGACCTTGGGCAAGGTAGTCTCCTTGCTGGCCCAGTCTCCCAGTCTATAATAATGTTTACTTGAGCATTTGCACAGTGCTTTTAAATGCATATATGAGGTACACCTCCCATTTCCCAGAGGACTGCACCGAGGTAGGAGAGGGGGATGGGGGAGTGCTGGAGGAGTTCAGCAGCCGTCATGACACCCCTTCGCCCCACACTCCTGGATGGGAGCCCAGACCCCAGTGGCCTCAGGAGCACCCTTTGAACTTCGGGGCTTCACACTGCCTCAGGCAGGCTTCCCTTCTAGACCCCACCTCACTTTTGAGTTCAGCTGAGCAGAAGCGGGTATATATAGTGTGCAGGCAGGTATGGCCGGGACCACCTTCTTCCCTTCTTTATGTCCCATCTCCAGTCCAGGGAGGAGTAAAAGTAAAGGGCCACTGGGGTTTCTGGCGCCTACACAGAATACAGGTGGATTTGCGGAGTGTAGACAGACGCCGCCCCGCAGGGGTGAATATGTGTTGAAAGGGAGAGCTGGCTCCTCCGGATAATTCTCTGCCAGCTCTGATCCCTCTTGCACACACACACCCCCACTAGGTTTCTGGGTGTATGTGTGTGGCGGTAGGCTGGGGGCAGGTATTGCTGAAAGGCAAGGGAGGTTCGAAAAGCACCCCACCTCCGCGCGACAGGTTCCCCGCCAAAACCAAAAGGGGGGCGGGAAGAACACGGTCGGGGATTTGTTCCCTCCTCTTCCCTTGCGGCCTGAGAAGGGGCACGGGGTGATATTTCTTTCTCGCCTCTTTCTACATTTCCTTCCTCCCCCCCCCCCCCCCCTTTCGCTGGCCGCATCCCTTTTCTTCCAATGTCTTTGTCGTCCTTCTCCACCGCTGTCCTTTCGGCCTCAGTCTCTGTCTCCCGGGCACCCTCTTCTCTTCTCCCAAACCAGAGGCCCCTTTTCCCTCCCGCCCCAGCCCTGCGGGCGGGTGTGTGTCCACGTGGCGCTAAGTTTGCCCGCCTCTTCTCACGTTTCGGTGCGTGAGTTTCTCTCTGCCTTTTACCCCCTCCCGCAACCCCCGCTCCGATCCCACCCCACGTGGATGGGCTGGGGGCGGTGGTCAGAGCGGGTGTCCGCTTGTCTGTCTGCCCGCAGGATGACGGAGCGGCCGCCGAGCGAGGCGGCACGCAGTGACCCCCCGCTAGAGGGACGGGACGCGGCCGAGGCCCGCATGGCCCCCCCGC